CAAAAGCTTCTCAGTTTCAAAAGGTCCCATTGATTGATTGTTTCTCTCAGAGTCTGTGCTACTGGTGTTCTATTTAGGAAGTAGTCTCCAATGCCAATGCGTTCAAGACTACTTCCTACTTTCTCTTCTAGCAGGTTCAGAGTAGCTGGATTTATGTTGAGGTCCTTGATCCACTTGGACTTAAGTTTTGTGCACGGTGATAGATATGGATCTGTTTGCAGCCTTCTACATGTTGATATCCAGTTTTGCCAGCACCATTTGTTGAAGATGCTTTCTTTTTTCCATTGTGCACTTTTGGCTTCTTTGTCAAAAATTATATGTTCATAGGTGTGCGGATTAATGTCAGGGTCTTCAATTCGATTCCATTGGTCCACATGTCGGTTTCTATGCCAGTACCAAGCTGTTTTTATTACTGTAGCTCTATAGTAGAGCTTGAAGTCAGGGATCGTGATGCCTCCAGAAGTTGTGTTATTGTACAGGATTCCTTTGGCTATCCTGGGTTTTTTGTTTTTCCATATGAATTTGAGTATTATTCTTTCCAGGTCTGTGAAGAATTGTGTTGGTATTTTGATGGGGATTGCATTGAATCTGTAGATTGCTTTTGGTAAGATTGCCATTTTTACTATGTTAGTCCTGCCTATCCATGAGCATGGTAGATCTTTCCATTTTCTGACATCTTCTTCAATTTCTTTTTTCAGGGACTTAAAGTTCTTGTCATATAGGTCCTTCACTTGCTTGGTTAGTGTTACCCCAAGGTATTTTATGTCATTTGTGGCTATAGTAAAGGGTGATGTATCTCTGATTTCCTTCTCCACTTCTTTGTCCATTGTATATAGGAGGGCTACTGATTTTTTTGAGTTGATCTTGTATCCTGCTATGTTGCTGAAGGTGTTTATAAGCTGTATCAGTTCCTTGGTGGAATCTTTGGGGTCGCTCAAGTATACTATCATGTCATCTGCAAATAGGGAAAGCTTGACTTCTTCCTTTCCAATTTGTATCCCCTTAATCTCCTTATGTTGTCTTATTGCTCTGGCTAGAACTTCAAGTACTATATTGAATAAGTATGGGGAGAGTGGACAGCCTTGCCTCGTTCCTGATTTTAGTAGAATTGCTTTGAGTTTCTCTCCATTTAATTTGATGTTGGCTGTTGGCTTGCTGTAAATTGCCTTTATTATGTTTAGGTATGTTCCCTGTATTCCTGATCGCTCTAATACCTTTATCATGAAGGGGTGTTGGATTTTGTCAAATGCCTTTTCTGCATCCAGTGAGATGATCATATGGTTTTTTTCTTTGAGTTTGTTTATATGGTGTATTATATTGACGGACTTTCGTATGTTGAACCACCCTTGCATCCCTGGAATGAATCCTACTTGATCATGGTGGATAATTGTTTTGATGTGTTCTTGGAGTCTGTTTGCCAGTATTTTATTGAGTATTTTTGCATCAATGTTCATGAGGGAGATCGGTCTGTAGTTCTCTTTCTTTGTTGTATCCTTGTTTGGTTTAGGAATTAGGGTAATTGTAGCCTCGTAGAAGGAGTTTGGTAATGTTCCTTCTGTTTCTATTGTGTGGAACAATTTAGAGAGTATTGGTATTAACTCTTCTTTGAAGATCTGGTAGAATTCTGCGCTGAAACCATCTGGTCCTGGGCTTTTTTTGGTTGGGAGACTTTTAATGACTGTTCCTATTTCATTAGGGGTTATTGGACTATTTAAATAGTTTATCTGGTCTTGATTTAACTTAGGTATGTGGTACCTATCCAGAAAGTTATCCATTTCTTTTAGGTTTTCCAGTTTTGTCGAATAGAGGTTTTTGAAGTATGACCTGATAATTCTCTGGATTTCCTCAATGTCTGTTGTTATGTCCCCCTTTTCATTTCTGATTTTGTTGATTTGGATGCTCTCTCTCTGTCTTTTGGTTAGTTTGGATAAGGGCTTGTCTATCTTGTTGATTTTCTCAAAGAACCAACTCTTTGTTTCATTAATTTTTTGTATTGTTCTCTTTGTTTCTATTTTATTGATTTCAGCTCTCACTTTGATAATTTCCTGGCGTCTATTTTTCCTGGGAGACTGTGCTTCTTCTTGTTCTAGAGCTTTCAGGTATGCTGTTAAGTCTCTAGTGTGAGATTTCTCCAACTTATTTATGTGGGCATTTAGTGCTATGAATTTCCCTCTTAGTACTGCTTTCATAGTGTCCCATAAATTTGGATATGTGGTGTCTTCATTTTCATTGATCTCTAGGAAGTCTTTAATTTCTTTCTTTATTTCTTCCTTAACCCATTGGTGATTCAGTTGGGTATTATTCAGTTTCCATGAGATTGCAGGTTTTCTGTAGTTTTTGTTGTTGTTGAAATCCAACTTTAGACCATGGTGGTCTGATAGAACACAGGAGGTTATTCCAATTGTTTTGTATCTGTTTAGATTTGTTTTGTGGCCAAGTATGTGGTCAATTTTAGAGAAGGTTCCATGGGGTGCTGAGAAGAAGGTATATTCTTTTTTGTTAGGATGGAATGTTCTGTAGATATCGATTAAGTCCATTTGAGTCATAACATCAGTTAAGTCCTTTATTTCTCTGTTAAGTTTCAATTTGGGAGATCTGTCCAGTGGTGAAAGTGGGGTGTTGAGGTCTCCCACTATTAATGTGTGGGGTTTTATATGTGATTTAAGCTTTAGTAATGTTTCTTTTACATATGTGGGTGCCCTTGTGTTTGGGGCATAAATATTCAGAATTGAGACTTCATGTTGGTGGATCTTTCCTGTGATGAGTATGTAATGCCCTTCTTGATCTCTTTTGATTGATTTTAGTTTGAAGTCTATTTTGCTGGATATCAGGATGGCTACACCCGCTTGTTTCTTAAGACCGTTTGATTGGAAAGTCTTTTCCCAGCCTTTTATTTTTAGGTAGTGTCTATCTTTGAATTTGAGATGTGTTTCTTGTATGCAGCAGAAAGATGGGTCCTGCTTTCGTATCCATTCTGTAAGCCTATGTCTTTTTATAGGTGAATTAAGTCCATTGATATTGAGGGAAATTAATGACCAGTGATTGTTCATTCCTGTTATTTTTTGGTGGTGATGTGTGGGTACTTCTATACGTTGGGGTTTACTGCTGTGGCTTTATCTGTTGCCTGTGTTTTCGAGGGTGTATCTGACTTCCTTAGGTTGGAATTTTCCTTCTAGTGCTTTCTGTAGGGCTGGGTTTGTGGATAAGTATTGTTTAAATCTGGCTTTGTCATGGAATGTCTTGTTCACTCCATCTATGGTGATTGAAAGTTTTGCTGGGTATATTAGTCTAGGCTGACATCCATGGTCTCTTAGTGTCTGCATTACATCTGTCCAGGTTCTTCTGGCTTTCAAAGTCTCCATTGAGAAATCGGGTGTTATTCTGATGGGTTTGCCTTTATATGTCACTTGGCCTTTTTCCTTTGCTGCTCTTAATATTCTTTCTTTATTCTGTACGTTTAGTTGTTTAACTATTATGTGGCGAGGGGACTTTTTTTGGGGGTCTAGTCTGTTTGGTGTTCTATAAGCTTCTTGTATCTTCATAGGCATTTCCTTCTTTAAGTTGGGAAAGTTTTCTTCTATGATCTTGTTGAATATATTTTCTGTGCCCTTGAGTTGGTATTCTTCTCCTTCTTCGACCCCTATTATTCTTAGGTTTGGTCTTTTCATGGTGTCCCAAATTTCTTGGACATTTTGGTTCATGACTTTGTTGGCTTTAGTGTTTTCTTTGACTGATGAATGTATTTCTTCTACTGTATCTTCAACGCTAGAGATCCTCTCTTCCATCTCTTGCATTCTGTTGATTATACTTGCATCTGAAGTTCCCAATCGTTTTCTCAGATTTTCTATTTCCAGCATTCCCTCTGTTTGTGTCTTCTTCATTTTTTCTATTTCCCTTTTCAGGTCTTGGACTGTTTCCTTCATTTGTTTCATTGATTTTTCTTGATTTTCTCTCAGTAGTTTATTGTTTTCTTCCAGGACTTTATTGATTTCTTCTAATTTGTTTGCCCTTTCCTCTAGTTGTTTACAGCGTTCTTCACATTTTTTTGTCTTTTCCTCTACACAAGCCTCTAGCTTCTTCATGATGTCATTCATAAGGCTGTTTTCTTCTGCTTCTTCCAATTTCTGATGTTCAGGTCTAGGTGTTGGAGGAGGGCTAGGGCCTGGTGATGCTGTATTGCTATTCATTTTGTTGTATATGTTTCTGCCTTGACGTCTGCCCATCTCCTTGTGCTTCGTTACTGGCCTAATCCGCACACTTGGTTCAGCCAGACCAGTGTTCCAAAAGGGAAGTCCGGAGCAAGATGGGAGCTGGGGGCCAGCCTCTAAGTCTCAGGAAGAGGCTTGGGGCTCAGGGGGATGGGAGTGGGGGCAGGGCGTGGAGTCTGCAGGGCCTGCCAGGGGTCTTGGAGAAGGGGATCCTTCCCGGTGGGGCTAGCAGGGAACCTGCCCGGTGGCCAGAACCTGGGGCCAAGTTGGGTAGGTCTTCCCTGGAGTGGCTGGTGCCCAGGGATGGGGTCTGGGGCAAGGAAGGGTACTCACCAGTTTTCCAAAAGGGAAGTCCGGAGCAAGATGGGAGCTGGGGGCTGGCCTCTAAGTCTCAGGAAGAGGCTTGGGGCTCAGGCGGATGGGTGTGGGGGCAGGGCGTGGAGACTGCAGGGCCTGCCAGGGGTCTTGGAGAAGGGGATCCTTCCCGGTGGGGCTAGCAGGGAACCTGCCTGGTGGCCAGAACCTGGGGCCAAGTTGGGCAGGTCTTCCCTGGAGTGGCTGGTGCCCAGGGATGGGGTCCGGGGCAAGGAAGGGCACTCACCAGTTTTCCAAAAGGGAAGTCCGGAGCAAGATGGGAGCTGGGGGCCAGCCTCTAAGTCTCAGGAAGAGGCTTGGGGCTCAGGGGGATGGGAGTGGGGGCAGGGCGTGGAGACTGCAGGGTCTGCCAGGGGTCTTGGAGAAGGGGATCCTTCCCGGTGGGGCTAGCAGGGAACCTGCCCGGTGGCCAGAACCTGGGGCCAAGTTGGGCAGGTCTTCCCTGGAGTGGCTGGTGCCCAGGGATGGGGTCTGGGGCAAGGAAGGGCACTCACCAGTTTTCCAAAAGGGAAGTCCGGAGCAAGATGGGAGCTGGGGGCCGGCCTCTAAGTCTCAGGAAGAGTAAGTGAAGTTTTTGTAGGGACTTCTGGTTCAATAATAAATACACGGAGACTTAATATTAATTATAAATGATTGGCCAATAGCTTAGGTTTGTTCCTAGCTAGTTCTTATACATTAAATTAACCCTAGGTCTCAGCATAGGACCTAGGTTCCAAAAAGCCAGCTCATGCACCAAGGACAGGTCCTGGTCCCACTGCCTAGGGGCCTCCTAGACACTTCAAGCTCATCAACTGTCTCACTTATCCAGAGGGCCTGGTCCAGTTCCGTGGGGGCTCCTCAGCTATTGGTTCACAGTTCATGTGTTTCCACTAGTTTGGCTATTTGTCCCTGTGCTTTTTCCAATCATGGTCTTGATATTTCTTGCTCATATAATTCCTCCTCTCTCTCATCGCTTGGACTCCTGGAGCTCCACTTGGGGTTTGGACGTGGATTTCTGCATCTGCTTCCACTAAATACCCAACAGTCCAATTAAAAAATGGGCTATAGAGTTAAACAGAGAATTTTCAACAGAAGAAGCTCAAATGGCTAAAAGACATTTAAGGAATTGCTCAACATCCTTAATCATCAGAGAAATGCGAATAAAAACAACTGAGATACCATCTTATACCCATCAGAATGGCTAAGATCAAAAACACTGAAGACAGCTTATGTTGGAGAGAATGTGGAGCAAGGGGAACACTCCTCCACTGTTGGTGGGAATGTAAACTTGTACAGTCACTTTGGAAATTAATATGGCGCTTCCGTAGAAAATTGGGAATCACCCTCCCTCAAGACCCTACCCAAGGAATGCTCAATCATACCACAAGGACACATGCTCAACTATGCTCATAGCAGCATTATTTGTAATAGCCAGAACCTGGAAACAACCTAGATGCCCTTCAACTGAAGAATGGATAAATAAAATGTGGTACACATGCACAATGGAGTATGACTCAATAGAGAAAAACAATGACATCATGAGATTTGCAGACAAATGGTTGGAACTAGAAAATATCATCCTGAGTGAGGTAACCCAGACTCAGAAAGACAAACATGGTATGTACTCACTCATAAGTGGATACTAGATGTAAAGCAAAGGATAACCAGACTGCAACTCACAACTCCAGGGAGGCTACCTAGTAAAGAGGACCCTAAGAAAGACACAGAGATCACCCAGTGACAGAAAAATTGATGAGATCTACATGAGAAAACTGGGAGTGGGAGGTAATGGAGGGCAAGGGTCAGGGGAAAGAGAACTTAGGGGAGTGGGAGATCCCAGTTGGATAAGGAACAAAGTGGGAGAACAAGAAGAGATGCCATGATGAATGAAGACCCCAAGGGAATAGGAAGAAGTAGAGTGCTAGAGAGGGCCCCAGAAATTCACAAAGATAGCTCCACTATAGACTAGTGACAATGGTCGAGAGAATGCCTGAGCTAACCTGCTCTGGTGATTGGATGGCCAAACACCCTGTCATGATAGAGTAAGAATTTTTTTAATGCAAAAGAACATACAAAAGAAGGTAGCAAAAACCAAAACCAGGAGAAGAAGAGAAATAGTAAAAGGCAAACAATAAAACTGGCAATGGAAATAATTTATAAATCAATAAAGAAAGGAGTTAATTATTTGTAAAATAGACAGCTATGTAACAATAATAACAACTGAAAAAATATACAAATAACCAATATCACAGATGGAACAGAGGATCATTACAGATCCTAGATGTCATAAGAGTGATAGGAGAATGTCATGAAAACTCTACACACAAAAAATGGTAACTGTAGATGAAGCAGACAAACTTCTTGGAAGGCTCAAATGTTTACATTTAACCAAATACAAAGAGATAATTTTTATGGCTCTAAAATCAGCTAAGAAAAATGAATTGATAACTTTAAACTCAAAAACATTTCATTCCCACCACTATAATAGAAAAAATATTTCCAAAATAAAATTTCAGTTCAGATATTTTCACTGCAGAATTTATCTGAATATTGAAAGTTGAATTAGCACAAATTCTATGTGTTGTCTTCCAAAACCTAGAAAAAAAATCACATTTTTGATTCATTTTATGGAGTTAGTATAATATTATACTTCATGTAAAGATAGTGCAAAATTGGTGCAGGCAAATATTGGACATGATGAAACATAATACCTTTAATGAAACATTAGCAAGTAAGATTTATATAGGTACATTATTCACTCTGACAAAGTAGAGTTTATTAGGGAGATGTAACTGATGAAATTTTTAAAATATTGGAAGAAAATTTTAATATTTCACCCAGCTGTAGTCTGGTTCAATATTTAAGATAAACAAAAGTAATTCATGATTTTAAAAAGCTAAGGAAGAAAAAATTCATTTCATATCTATTGATTCACACAAAGAAGTGACGAAATATAATGGCTACTCATACTACTGATGGTCAGAAAAATGGGAATGGAAGGTACTGCGGTTTGGATTTAGAATGTTTTCCAAAGGTACAGGTGTTGAAGATACATCTGCAACTTGGCACTCTTGGACAATGATACAAATCATCAGGAGGTAGGGTCTAGTGAAGACTGATCAATCACCAAGGCAAGTTTCCAAAGGGGTTTGGAGGCAACAGTCATCTTTTTTCATTCTGACCATGATATACTGCTAAGCTGCAAGCCCAGGGGCAAATGAGATGACCTCCCTCCACTGCATCCTCTAAACTTGTGAGTCAAAAACAATAACAATAACAAAACTTTTTATAAATAATACAATATGAGTAAACAAAACCTGCCATCACATTGGAATAGGACAAAACAAATAGAAGAAAAAGCACCCAAGAGAAAGCACAAGAATCAAGAGGCCCACTGGTTCGCACACTCAAGAATCCCATAAAAACACTAAATTTGAAGTCATAATATAAACTCAGAAGACCTGGTGCAGACCTGCAGGCCCTTGTACACACTGCCTCAGTTTTCATGAGTTTATAGCAGCTTTCGACTTGTGGATTTAGAGGACCTTATTTTCTTGGTGTCCCCCATCCCCTCTGGTTCTTACACTCTCTCTGCTTCCTCTTCCACAGGGTTCCATGTACCCTGAAGGGAGGAATCTGTTGGAAACATCCAGACCACAAACTCTTTGATCTACAATGTGGTTCTGCCTGCAAGATATGCTAGGGTAATGGTAACACAAAGTTTACGGCAGTAACCATCAATGTCTGAATTAACTTCAGGCCCACTCCACCAGATGGGACCCTTACCTGACACTGCTTGGGTAACCAATAACCTGAGACTAAATAGCTCAGGGACGGATGGTAAAGCCAAATACTACTGGTGTGAAAACAAACAAAAAATATAGCAAATGACTTCTTATGACATTCTGCTATATTCATAGATTAATGCCTCACTCACCCATCATCAGAGAAGCTTCTTCCTGCAGGAGATGGAAAAAAATGCAGAAACCCACAGACAGACACTGCACAGAGAGTGAGAGAACTTGGAGCACTCAAATAAACCTTTAGTTCCGTTCAGTTGATTGTATGAGTTTTGCTGTTACAGATTCACAATCTGGGTTATTAGAGTGAACTTCCTCAACTTCCTCAGAGCATCTGTAAGATAAACATAACTGTAACTGGAATAATACTAATATTGATAGATAAAATTCCCTTCCTAAGAAAATCAGAAGCAAAACAAAGATACCTATGTTCATCAGTCTTACTCAACATGGTGTTATAAGTTTTACATAGTACCATAAATCAGGAAAAAGCAAGAGAGATTATGCATATTGGGCAGGAAGATACAAGTGTCCATTGTTTAGGATGCATTTGTACATAGAATAATCTAAGGAGTCTACAACAGAGACAAATACAAACTCTAATTATATGTTCTTGCATCATCATTAAATACATAGACATTGAAACTTAAAGTAGTTCCATGCATAATAACAAATACACACAGGTGTATCTCTAACAAAACCAAGGAAAATTTTGGAGTAATTTGCAGTTTTTGCTCCTTTTTTATTTTTAAAGAGTATTAAAATACTCTTTAAAGCTATACTCTGTATAGCTCAGACTGGTCTCAAACTCACTATATTCCTGCCTTAACCTCCCAAGTGATGAAGAGTATAGGTATGCTCTATGTGGTCATCTAGCACATAACTTGTATCTGAAAATCATACAAAATTGGTGCAAGGAATCAAAGATCTACTGAAGTCACCTTAATTTTTGGTTTAGAGAGTCAATATAATAAAGATATCCATTGTATCAAGGTTAAAATACAGATTTCAGATAATTTTTTATTAAAAACCTTACTCATATTTTGTAGATGTTAACAAGATTATTTTAATGTTATATGAAATGGCAAAGTTATTAGAAAACACAAAACAGTTCTGCAAAATGATGAGTAAATCAAAATTAATCTAATTGACCTCAAGATTAATTACGTAGCTGTGGAAATATAATATTGGTAGAATGACAGATAAATAGATCAACAAAAGAGAATAATGTACTAAGAAATATATTCATCACTAAATAATGCCTACTGGCTTTTGATAAAGATATAAAAGTGACTCAATGGTGAAAGAATGAACAATTTAATAAATAATAGTAGAGCAACCAGACAATCATGAGAGAAGAAGTAGGGGGAAGAAGTAGCAGGAGGAGCCTAAGTCAGCTTTTTAAAATGCACTCAATAGAGATTGCAGAATTCAATGTAAGTGCCTTCGGGTTTGAGAGACAGCTCGGCTGTTAAAGGCACTTACTGCTCTTGCAAAGAACTGGAGCTGGGTTCTTAGTACCCACATTGGGCAGCTCACAACAGAGTGAGCTATAACTTCAGCTCCAAGAAATCTGATATCAGCTTCTTGTTTGCTTTGGCACATGCACTTGCACACACACACACACACACACACACACACACACACACACACACACACAAAGAGTTAAAAGTAAATATATGTTTTTTAACTATCTAAGTCTATTGGAAGAACCATGGAATGTTTAGGATACAGCAGAGCTCTACAAACATTCAGGTTCTTAATTATTTTACAATGCATGGAACACTTGGGTCTAAGAAGAGTTCTTTTCGAATTCACTATACATAATGTAAAAAACTAATGAACTGGGCTTTATCACATTATAAAACATGTTTATACAAAATACCATATTAAAGAATGAAATGACTGGCTCTAAAAGAGACTAAACTATTTGAGAAGTAAATACTAAAAAAAGAAATGGAAAAGTTTCTAGGATGCATGAAGAACTCTCTGGCAGCAAAACAGAGAAAAAGCTCAGTTAGAAATTAGAGGAAAGACACGAAAATCTTTTAATAAAATTAAATAGAATATACAAATAAAGTATAAACATACACAGAATTATGCACTATTAGGCATCAGAGAAGTGAAAATTAAAACCAGTTTATATCTGCATACATCCACTAGGAAAGCTACAGTAAAAATGATAGACAACATCAATGCTAATGAGGGTGTAATGAATTTGGATAACTTTATAAGTTGCTAGTGTGAATGTAGACAGGAACAATCATATTTGTAGCATTTTGGCAACATCTTAGAAATATAAATATGAGCCGGGCGGTGGTGGTGCACGCCTTTAATCCCAGCACTTGGGAGGCAGAGGCAGGCGGATCTTTGTGAGTTCAAGGCCAGCCTGGTCTAGATGAGCGAGATCCAGGAAAGGCGCAAAGCTGCACAGAGAAACCCTGTCTCGAAAAACCTAAAAAAAAAAAAAAAAAAAAGAAATATAAATATGAAAAGGAAGGGCATGAAATTGGGAAGCAGATGTGATTGGTAAATCCTGGGCAAAGTAGGACAGGGAGAGTCCAGTACTGGGTATGTTCAAAATAACCATGGAAGTTTATTTAAATGAGGAAGATTCTCATATGCTCCCACATTTGAATATCTGATCTCCAGTTGTTAGAAATGTTTGGGAAGCATTTTGAGGTGTGACTTTGTTGGAGGAAGTGTGTCATTCCCACATACCTTTGAAATTTTACAAGGCTCCTGTTATTTCCAGTGTGTGCTCTCTGACTCCTTCCTTTTTGTTCAAGATGTGAGTTCTTAGATGTTCCTGCCACTATACTTTCTCTCTGCCATAATGGACTGTAACTTTTGGAATCATAAGCACAGTTAAGTGCTCTCTTGCCTTATGCTCATTGTGTTTTATTATAGCAATAGAAAAGTAACACAGTAACCTTGTGTGCATGTATGAAATTCTCAAAGATAAGATTTAAAAGTCTATATATGCAGCAAGAAAAATACACAGAAATTATGTTCTTGCATATTTATCCTAAATATATAAAATATGATAACATAAATATCCATAGCAGACTTATTCATAATAAGCTAAACCTGAAAGCTAACCCTGACACCCATTACCTGTGATGATACTTGGTGTCATTTTGGACTTTTTTTTTTTTTAACAAAATTCATTGTACTATGCAATTTAAAAATAATACAAATGGTTTACTTATTACCCTAGTTGCTGTGTAATGGTAGTTCTGTATGCTGTGAATGTGTGTTGCTCTAATTGGTTGATAAATAAAACTGTTTGGCCAATGGTGAGGCAGAATAAGGTTAGGTGAGACATTCCAACTAGAGAGAGAGGAAGGAGAAAGGCAGAGAGAGGAGCCGCTGCCAGCCGCTGCCAGAAGGAGCAAGATGTAAAGTACTAGTAAGCCACAAGCCTTGTGGCAAAGTATAGGTTCATAGAAATGGGTCAATTTAAGATGTAAGAGCTAGGAAGTGAGAATTAGGCCATATACTTTGAAAATAATATAAGCCTCTGTGTGTTTATTTGGGTCTGAGCAGCTGGAGGACCAGGTAGGACACAGGAAAACTTCTAACTACACCTAGTTGCTTTAAAGGGTAAATATTTTCCTATAGGTAACAATTTCCATGTGTACTTACATGGCAGAAGGGACAAGGAAGCTCCTTAAAAATCTCTTAAATAAGAGCACTAATCAGTTCTTAAGGGGGAATCTTTCATGACTTAATAATTTCCTAAATATCCCACTACTTTAGCACTAATCCACTGGACCTCAGACATCATATTAAATGGGGACCACTAACATTCAAAATAGAACACAGGGAATAAAGCTTTGCAATAAAAACAATAATGAACTGTTATAATTCCTCATAATAAGTCCTAATTATTTGAGTGAAAGGTTCCCTTTCAAAAGATTTGTTGTAAGGATTTAAAGACTATCATTTAGGAAAACAATGTTAAATATCTGTGATTCCTACATATTATTTGCTACGAACTTGGCTATTATTACCTCAAAATGAAAAGTTAACTTAAATCTAAAATATTGAGTTTTCCCATTTAATAACATTATCTATCTTCTTGCTCAGTGTTTTACAGAATTTCATTTCATAATCATAAAAGTATCCTAAATTTATTTGTTGCTGTTATAAATGCAATAATGTCTTTCATTACATTTCCTAAATGCTTGCTATTTCTACAAAAATTATTGATTTCTAGATATTAATATTGTTCCTATAATCTTTGTTGCATACTTTGATTTATTTTAGGATTTATATATTTTTTATTTATGTGTATTTTTGCATGTCTGAGTGTGTACCAAGTGTGTAGGTGCCTGTGGAGGCCAGAAGAGGGTATCATATCTCCTTGAACTAGAGTTATGAGTCATGAACAGCTGAACATTTGTGCTGGAAATCAAATTCAGGTCTTCTGGAAGAGCAGCATGTGTTCTAAACCACTGCACTCCAGATTCTTTGATATTTTACAATCACTTTTACTTTGTTTTTTTTTTTTAAGTTTTCTAAGTACATAAATACATTACATTCAATTTTGATCATTTTATATATTCATTACTAACATGTATATCTTTGATTTGTTCCCCTATCCATAGCACTGCCTCTTAATGTCTATAAAAGCATAGTAAACAGTTGTTGCAGGTTTTCCTTTTGTCTTTGCTGATAATAGAATTTTTACTTGTTTCTAATTTTAATAGAAAATTTTCAGTATTTTCTTTCTTCCCATCAATTAGCAAATATATTAAGGAAATGTCCATCTCTGAATAATGTTGTTAAATCTGAACACATACTCTCTCTTGTCAAAAACCTTCCAACAAAGTCAATAGAAAACTCAGGCATGCCATAAATGCAATCTGCAAATATAATTTTAATTTGTCTATTAGCAATAATCTTAAAAGTAAAGACAAATGAGAGTATAATTATTTTAATTATAGTCTAAATACAGTAAACAAAGAGAACTCCATTTACAAGTAATTAAGATAATGATTATTCACGAGCTATATTGAAATGTCTTTAGTACTAAGTTTTTGACTATTGTGTTTATTTTATTGACAGCACATAACAGTAGCCTATATTCAAGGCTCAGTAGTCATGGGTCTCTAGTATAGCTACTTAGCTTTAACATTGTTTTATTGTCTTTAGAAAAACACCTATCTTTTTTTTTGTATCACATGTACACAACAGAAGGTCTGCTCCTGTAAATTCCATTTTGTTATTCTTCTCTGAACCTCAGGAAACCTATTTTCCTACTTGGAGCAGCCTTGCTCTGTCACTGACTTAACTCCTGGGTTTCTATTAGTTCATAGTCAAACTTACCTGATCTCAGGAAGCCTTCTGTGTTCTAAGTCTGGGTATATTTTTCTGCTTTCTGAATTTTGTCCTAACTTGTTATCAACATTTTCTTCTTTCCTTTCATTTACTTGTCTTTATTCTATGCTCTTGAGATCAGGGACTCCACTTTATTACTCAAATTATATTTACATATGAATGCACAAAGGTCACAGTAGGTCATTGGCAAGTACTTACTTCATGATAAGGACATGTGATGACGGCTTGTAAGGTCAGGACTCATGCCCAGCAGAGGAAAGCAATATGTTCTGGGCACAAAAGAAGAAAGAGAAAAGTTTGGTCAATAGGAAGGAGGGCAGAAAGTTATATTAAAGTATTAAAAAGAAGTGATCAAAAAATAGAATGATACTTGGGTGGCAGAAGCTGGCAGATCTCTGTGAGTTCAAGGCCAGCCTAGTCTACAGATCAAGTTCCAGGACAGCCAGTGTTATACAGAGAAACCCTGTCTTGGGGGAAAAAAAAAAAAAAAAAAAAAAAAAAAAACAACCTGGAATCACACAGTATTAAGATCCTACATTAAGTTTCATAAATCATGACTTCTTACCATTTAGGTCATAGTTCATCAGGAACAATGAAAGAATGTGTCAGTATCTATCAACATATTCTTGGGAAAAGAAGTGTAAATTGCAGGGAGCTGATGACAAAATGAACAGCTTTCTGCTTCACTGCACTAGGAGCAGAGTAAGTATAAAATGCCTTTTCGTTCTCTTTGTCTTGTTAATGGCATGAGGAAAGGATGCTTTACCAAGCATTATCCCGAAGTTTTAGAGTATCATACTCAGGTAAAGTGACCCCTTTTCAAGGCAGACTACTGGCCATAAAATCGTGGAAATGAGTATTGTTGAGTGATTTTGATGTTGAAAGTCTCTCTCTGCCTCTGGACTTAATGTTTTATATGTCTTACTTTCTAAGACATCTCTCATTGCTCCTAGAATGTTTATGAGCTCTCAACAAAAGAAAGATGCATCCCTTTTCTGAAGATGACAACCAGCATGACCCATTTCTATATTTCTTTAGAAAAATCACTGAATAACAACAACAATGGTAATAATAATGGATGCCATGTCTACATACTTGTGAAATGTGTCAGATACTAGACTAAGCACTTTATCAACATCATTTCACTCAGATGCCACAAGTGTTACAAGCAAGTGATGAGTCTACAGTTACATAGCTAAATTAACTGAGCTGGGACTTGCTCCCAATCTATCTAATTTCAAAGCCCATATATCCCTATTTTATATTTTATTACTTGCACTTTGTCAAAGCATATAGAATGGTATATTGAAAGCCACTCATTAATCTCCACTTTTGGCTGACTCCAGAACATCTGAATATCACTTCAATTTGCTCAGCTTCAGGGAGGAGCTCATCCTTGGTCACATCTGCCTTATGCTTAGACCAAAGAGAGGTGCTTTCCCAGTCTGCTACTTCATTTTTCCCTTGTGAGGATGAGCAAAATGATTGGCCCAGAACCCTGCACACATGGAGACCACTGCAGCTCAGTCAGATACTTTCTGTGTAAAGATCAATTAAAATGTGTGCTTGATTTTAAACCAAAGAAATAAGGGACAGATGGAAGAGTTCAGTTGCGGTGACTGACAGCACTCTCACAGCTGCTGGGATGATGACATTGCCAGCCACTTGTTTTCAATGAGATTGTATCTTGCTGATAACTCTTGAACAGACACAAAGTCATTTGTCTTTGAGATCCCATCTGTAAAAGCTCTAATGCTTACAGGTAGAAATACTGCCAGACACTCTCTGCCAATGGTATTCAGGTTAAACTGCACATTAGAATCAACCTAGGGAGTTTTCAAACTCTCAATGCTGGCTTAACACCCTAGGGGCCAATTTCCTCAGAACCCCTGGGATGGAGAGTCAGGCATCAGTATTCACCATTCTCTTTCTCCCCTGTGACTCCAGGGTTCAGTCAATGAGAAAATGACTGCCCTGAAAAGTATGTCTTGATTCATCATAGTTATGGAAAAGAACAAAAGGTCTTACTCTTATTATCAATGTAAAAGTCCATTGCACAACAGAAATGAAAGTGTCATCTTTTCATTAATTAATTCCCTGAAATATTTCATAATTTAGTTAGGATCACATGTCATAAAAGTGCATGCATCTGCTTGAAATATGTGTGCACTCTGGATATTTTAGAAAATATTATAATATTGAATATCAGTGTTATTAAATTATATTTATGTATGCCAGAATATATACAGAGATATATTAAATCTTATTAATTTTGTTTGCTATGTATTTCTATTGAATCACTTAAATATTTCTAATAAAAACATTTTAAAACTCTTATCAGTGATACAGTACTTGTAAATTTTATAAATGATGTATATTTAATTTTTCTGTTTTGAGGATAGGTTGCTGAATGCATTAGTGTTCTTTATTATTTATTTTGCTGGGCATTTTTTTCCTTTACTTAAATGATCCATTTCTTATTTCCAACAGTGTTACTTATTTGGACTTTATTTTCTGAAATGAATTATTGTCTCATTACTTTTGGTTAAATTAATAGATTTTTCCTTTCTTAACTTTCACTTTTGTTACAAATTTGATTTCACATAGTTTAAGAAACATTATAACTGAATTTTTGGAATGTAGTCTGAAAAATGGGACTTAAAAGGAAATTTATGTTCACTGATATTAACTGGGACTATAGATATCTTTAGAACTGCTTCCATTTTACTTTTAATTTTTTCTTCAACTTTCTCATTTCGAGATTTTGTATTTTTTATTTTCATCCATACTTTAAGAGGACCAAGGTATATGTCTGCACTTTCAGATGTTCGTCCATTTTTCCACATGCAAAATTATAATAATTTCAACTGTTAAATATTCAAGTTTTTAAATTATCTTCTTATAAACAACAAATACCATAATACATGACTTACCATTAGCTACCCATTGTCGTTGTTAGAAATGAGTCTGAGGTCCCAAGAAAATTATCAAACAATCCAAACTATTTCAAAAGGGCAAAAAGATTTGTTTCTGCAGAAGGGTACATAGTGAAGCAGGCAAGCCTATCCAGTTTTGACCAGAAGCAGTGTTCTTTCTAACCTAGTCGTTCCTGTGCCTTGATATGAGGAGTCAGCGCTTAGCCCCACACTTTTATGTGGTTGTTAACTCAAAATGGTGCAGAAAAATTTTAGCGTTGAGGAATAGAACAAAACCTTGTGCAGATACCTTGCTTTTAAGAAGTGCTTGACCCTGAAGGAATTTGAATTTCTGCCAAGTGGCCTCTTTACATTTTTTTAGTAGAATTTTGCCATTTAACCCTTTGATATAAAAACAGTTTATTTTGTTTACAATTCCTGCACCATCATGTAAGCTATGGTTAAGCAATTATTTTAAATGTTTTATACAGCAATAATATTAAATTTACATGCAGTATTATTGGTGATTAATAAATCTGTGTTCAGAGAAATCCAGTGTTTCATTTGCCATTGTTTCTCAAATCCTTCTTACTGCATGTCTAGAAAGAGACTAAAAGTATTGAGTCCTCTTAAATAATGCTTCATCTTCATTATAACTAGGCTAATAGTTTAACTGGGCATAAAAACGTTTTTCTTCAATACATGGAGGTATTCATGGTTAGTTCTTTGAATACCGTGACTAACAAAGGAAAGGCATCATGTCTTGTCAGTCTGCATTCTCTTCCTCTCTTACCATCTGTCTTTTACCTCTGAAGATTTTTAAAATTATTCCCTGTTTTTAAGATTGTAATATAATTTCATCATTTCTCCATTCCCTGGACATTTTTTAAGCCTGGGGTTTTGTACTTGTTCTACATTTTTGTCCAGTAATATGCCATGGATTTGTTAACATAAATTCTTCTGTATAAACTCTTCGATGAATGGAATTTTGTGCCTTCAGTTCTAGAACAACCCAGAAATGATCCATTCACTTATTTTTCCTTCCTATTCCCCTAGGAAATCAACTTGATCCCCTACATTGGAGAAGTCTAAACTGGAGCTTTTCAATATGCCCTGGGAATGTATGTCACCCCTCTTTTTTTTTTCTGGTTTTTTGGTTTTTTGTTTTTTGTTTTTTTGTTTTCCTCTCTGGAGACTCCTGGCTGAATTTCTGATGTGCATTATATTCTAAATCATTGGCTGTCTTTTTTGTTAATTAATTCATACTTACTCCATTATGTTTATATGATTAATTATCTAATTTCACAAAATTTCTACTTTTTATGTTCATGATGTATTTTCTCATTTTTGTCTGTTTTCTAATTTCTGCTATAGATTCATGTACTCTTCTCTGGGATCAGCCTATGCATTCTTATTTTTAATCTTTGTCTAACACGTTACGGCGATAAGTTACACACATTGATTTAATTCTTTGATTATTAGTTTATGACGAATTTTTTTTAGCATTAACTTTCCACATATATGTGCCTGTGTCGGTGTATGGTATTTGATCTGTTTGTTCTATTTTTCCTTGTATCCGTCTTCTCAGTCATCCTAGGATAAATCACACATTTATATGCAAATGTTGTTTAACTTCACTAAACACTAGTCCCTATTCTGAGCTTTGGAGAAATCTAGTTCATAAAAAATGTAAAATTCCCTTCCTGCATGAGGATTACATTCCTAAAGGGTAAACAAACAAAAATCACAGCATACTATTAAATCCTGGTATCTGTTGATGGTCTGCGTCTATTCTCACAGGACTCTTTATCCCGAATGTTCATTAGACCCTACTCTATAGTGAACACTGGAGCTACAGACGGATGCTGATACATAAAGCCACTTGTAGCCCATCCTTGGGGAAACAAGCACAGAAATGTAGAAAATGGCACTGGAAACTTTTATATCAATTTGACAAAGTAATATTGTTTCTGTCAAGTCTAACACAATGTGTCCTTGTATTTTGTATGTCTATTTTAATTTCATTTTCTATTTCACTTTAATTGAATTTTACTAACAAAAATATGCCTGAGGTTTAAGGGGAAAAATAAGACATTTCAGCAGAGAGAGTCTGATAATCGTCAGTATGGAAGTTCTTTGGCCGTGGACACCAAGTCAGTCAGGCTTTACTGTAGTCTCTTTGCCTCACACAGCTCAGTCAGTACCCTCTTCTCCTTCTTCTCTGTAGTATTCTAGAAAGGTCTTGAAGCAGGAGCACGAAACAGGGTAATGAGAAGGGTGAATATGTTCTAATTATATTACACACGTGTATGTAGAGCCACACTGAACCTCATTATCTTGTTTAATTAGCATAT